ACTATGCTGCTAACAGAACCACACTGCTAACAGTGCCATGGTGCTAATGGGACCGTATTGCTAAGAGAATCTCACTGCCAACAGAACCACTCTGCTAAAAGGACTATGCTGCTAACAGAACCACTCTGCTAAAAGGACTATGCTGCTAACAGAACCACACTGCTAACAGTACCATGGTGCTAACGGGACCATGTTGCTAAGAGAACCCAGTGTTTCCCCTACCATTATACAGGCAGGGTGCCCCACCCCGTCAACAGAACTGAGCACCCCGCCTACCAAACGGAACTTGCCACCACCCCTCCACCCCCCACCCCCGGCAAGGACATATCACTAAGCTAGCGGTGCAAAATACAGGCTCTCTAGCTAAAAAGCCAAAGGCAGCACTCACAATGCCTCTTCCCTCATGTTGAACGCCCCCCGTCCCCACTCAAAAACTGTTAGTACAAGCTGCTCTCAGACATGTCTCCGTCCCCCGCATCAGCAAAAATCATGGATGAGATGAGCACCCCGCCATGGCAAGCTAACTAGGGGAAACACTGGAACCTCACCGCCAACAGAACTAACTGCTAATGCTAACTGCTAATGGGACCATTCTGCTGTAGATGTATTTCACTTTTTCACTTTTGGCGCCTTGTTTTTGTATTTTTGTTGCATGCTTTGGTATTTCTTGTTATTGTTTTTTTTTTTGGCAATTTGAGACGGTTCTTCTTGTCCTGAGCATTTCATTGCATTGTTGACCTTGTGTTGATCTGCATATGACAAATAAACCTACTTACCCTAACTTGAGTAATTTTAGATGCTGGTTTAAAGACCAGATCATTTTTAATTTTTCCTGATACAGAAAACTTTCTTTTTCCCATGACCGCACATGAGGAAGAAAATCTGTGTCACTCACTGTCTTGTTGACGAGCCTGTAGCTTGTATTGGTGCAGTAAAACGCCTCGCTGCCGCAGCATCCACCACAGCGATGCAGTGCCACACAGCGAGGGAGGTATAGCTGACTGGTGGATTCTGGGTATTCTTTGGCAACTTCAACACACACCTCTCTTGGCTGGCACGAGGTTCGCTGGATCTCCTCAAGGATGACTGCAAAGATGATTAAGTGACTGGATTTTGTTTGTTGACACTTTGAATATGAGCTTTAGGGTAGGAGATTATCCACTTTCCAATACCACCCACTTTTATTTGTCTTGGGTGCAATAATGTCTGTGTAGCAGTCTATAAAAACATAGCGTCTCCGGTTACGTCATCACTCATCTATTTGAGTTTCTTCGAGGTTTTGGAAGTGATCTGGTGCATTTGCACTTTTTCAAAGTGATGCAGTTCGGCTCTAGTTAAAAAAAAAAAACAACAACAACTTTGTTTACCTTCTAAATTTGCATCCATTTTGTAAAGAGCCTCCTCCCTCATCTGAACCCACACATTGTCACTGGTAGAGTGGATGAATGGGCTTGCTGAAGAGGCTGGAAATGATGAGGAAGAAAAAGAGGAGGAAGACGAGTCCTGCAACAGTTTCCTCCTCATGCATTGCTGAATCAAACTGTATTCAGGGTAGAGAAGCTGTAGGAGCTGATCCATACTCGTCACCGTGTCCAAACTGGGCTGATCATCTGATTGTTTTGGTGACTGGAGAAAAAAAGAAAATAAAAGAGTTTTTATTAGAATTTTGACCTTGTGTTTTTATGTGTAACCAGATCATTCTCTAATCTCTATACTCTATATTCTTGCTAAGGTTTTAGAAAAATTGATAAATACTCAAGTCAAGAAGTACTGTTATTTGGATCCTTTTAACATCTTAATCCCCCCCATCAATCTGGTTTTAGGAAACTACACAGCACAATGACTGCTTCATTGAAGGTGTTTAATAATGTTGTTGAAGCACTGGATGCTAAGGACTCTACTGTGCTGCACTTTATTTAGACCTGTCTAAAGCTTTTGATACTGTGAACCATGACATCTTGTGTCATAATCTCTCGGACATTGGTTTCTCTATCGGTTGGTTCTCTAATTACCTTTCAGTTCAAAGGCAATGTGTTCAACATAATTGTACTCCTTCCAGCTATTTAACTGTCAATAATGGTGTACCACAAGGCTCAGTCTTAGGTCCCACTCTCTTCACAGTCTACATAAATCAGATAGGTCAGATCTAAAAAAGTTAAATCTGGTCCTCTGGACATAAAAAAAAAACAGCAAAACAAAGCAAACAACAAAAAAATGTAGAAATGTTTTGTCTTTCATCTGGAAGACTTCCTCAGTCTGAGGTGCTGTATTCAGCTCAGTCTCTTAAATAGCACCTTCTCAGAGTGGATCAACCAGTTTTGC